CCACACAGATAGTGGTGCGCCGGAAAACAATTGGGAATGTACCCAAGTGAGTCCACCCATAAATGGATACCAGGAGGGGAGTTCAGTTCAGTCAAGAATTGAAATCACAGTACTCGGAGCATTCATATGCATGCTCAGTCCTCATCTTCAGCAGCCAGCCCAGAGTTCCTATATTGACGGTACCGGTCACAATCTGGTTATATGTCCGTCTTGCCTTTCCTCTGAGTGTAGTGAGCCGGCCAGACCCTCTGGTTACACCCAGATGCCTCATTCTCTCCAGGCCATAATAATCTTCTATCTCTACAGATTCGGTTGCTTGTTCCCAAGGAGCATGGATACCAGTAATGTCCATAAAAGTAAAGGCGTTCAGTGTGATGTTGACATAGTGGTGTATATTCTGTGATACCCATCCTTGTCAACCAATAGGTTAGAAAGAGAATTCCTAAGAGATAGTTAATCAACATATTAACCACTGTGAACATCAGATCCTTTAGTCCCAAAGTGCTCAAATCCCCGTCTCCCCCCCCCCTCCCCCTCGCCGTAGAAATTTATGTTAGTTCTTCTTCTTCCCAAAGTCCAGGCCCTGTGGTGTTGGTAGTCATGTTTATTGGAACTCCCCTTAACGTCGTTTACGTTTATCGATTGTTGTAGAGACATAACTTTTCTTTGCAAAATACTCACAGTAGGTTGCAATTTCTTTCTGTGTGATCAGTGCCCATACTGGGCGGGTTGTCCCAGCCATTGTGCTGACTGGAAAGATCGCTGGTAGAAGAGGCAGAGTTAGAGACAGAGAAGTGATTGGTGGATGGCTGAAGACACTGGCATCCAAGAATATCATCAGTAGAACTGATCCAGAACACCAAAGACCGAGATCTGTAGCGACGTCTGAACGCCTATGCCAGCTGGCCAGGAACATGATGATGATGATGATTATGATGATCTCTAAGGTAGATCATGATATACAACAATGAGAAGGGGACAATCAAAGTTGTTTGGTCATGTAATGAGAGAAGGAGCACTGGAAATTATCGTGACGACCGGAAAGATCACTGGTAGCAGAGGCAGAGGCAGACCAGGAGAAGTGATTGGTGGATGGCTTAAGACAGTAGTAGGAAAAATGGTAGAATTGCTCTAGTCCCACAACTCTCTGTAAGACCCATAAACGCCTACGCCAGCTGTAAGGCACTTATGGTGATGATGACAAAACACATGATAATCTCTAATTTCCCACATCTCTCAAACAAATAAGTTGGTTGTTAGTTGCGTATCCTTGACAGGACGTTGCAGAAATAACCCCAGCAGCCCCTGGCTATTGTGTGGTTTCTCTAGGCAAATTTACGTCCAGTAGTTTGTTATTTATCTCTGGACGGTCGGCTCCCTGATACCACTGTCGAAACCAACGCAAGGCGCATAGCTCGCAGCTGGGATCGAACCCGGCGCCCCGGCATTACGAAGCGTTCGCAATCGACTTAGCCACAGGGCCGACTTTCGAACAGTACTGCACTGTTTATTCGCGTTACAGTTCTATATTAATATCCTAACCCAGATTTCGTCACAGGACAGTCCAACATTTCAGAAGGTGGTAAGACTAGGTTTTCCCGCTTTCTGATGTTTTTAACCACCACAAAACATCTAGAACTGGCCCTAACCCCAACCCATCTACGTCCCACGAGAGAGTGAAGCCTATGTCCCACGACTGCATGCAGTCTAGATCCTACGACTGCATGCAGCCTATCTACCACCCCCTGAGGTATTAGACTGTGCCGTAAACTGTGGATTTACCCTGTTTGGGCATGGATATTAATAAAGCGCCGTATCTACAGTTTGTCAGTATCTGCCTCGGGTACAGGGTCATCTAGAATTACTACTAGGATTTTATACTTTTATTATGAAAGAAATATTTTACAGGTATACACGTATGTGGTTTTGTAAAGTTTTAATTTCAATGTTCAAAAAAGGTAAAGTTGGGAGATGTGAACGAGCGTCTTTGCCCACGGTTATAAACCATAAGTGCTCTGCCACCAGTAGGGAAGCTGATAAGAATTGTCCGCCTGTGTCGCCGTCCGCACGTAACTCTGTAGCTACATCGGCGTTCTTCAATTTACCCCAGAGTGTCAACTCTGGTACCCTTTTCTTAGAGGCTGGGTGAACCCCGGAAACCGCCCGGTTTCGAACACCGGCCGTGGGCTGCAGCGAGTCGCAGCTGGATTTGAAAGCGAGCCTCCACAATGTTACCTTGTGTAGGGCTTAAACAGTGCTGAGAAGATACTGAGGTACTTTCTTATTAGCCGACCACAAACAGAGAAATTCCACAGGTCACGGGACAGTCAAATATTTCAGAGGATGGTAGACTAAGCGTATAGTTTTAGTTAGATCAGGGTTAGGGTTAGATAAACCTTCGCCTTGGAAGAAACGCGCTAAAGCACAGAAAACACGGAAAACCATTTCTTACCACCCTCTAAAACATTGGACTACCCAGTGACGTCATTTGTGGTCGGCTAAAAAGAAAGCACCATTAAGGAACATCTAGCCCCTTACAGAGAGGGGACGCTGCAGCAATTCAACTGTATCTCTGCAGACGATTCAAAAGAGGTGGCAGGAGATTGGATACCATCTAGACATCGTCAGACCTACATGCGGCGCCCAAATTCAGGTGTTGCAATGTGAGCCTAAAATGTCACACTTTTTATATTTACGTATTAGGACGCCAAAAATGTCAAAAGCCCCGGGTAGTTAGCACCATTTCGATATTTTCTCCAGGTTATGCCAGTGTGTTAGGAAACTAGCAGGCAGATAGACTGACTGGCTCTGCACCCCACACAGCCAGAGCTACAAGTGGCACCCAATAAGAAGAAACTCAACAGGGGAGCATGTACAACAGGAGTCTACCAATCATCAGTAGAAGTAATCTCTCGTCGACAAATGTTTCGGCCCACGAGCTCCTAGACATTTTCAGAGAGTGGGCCCACTTGACCTGAGTTCATGAGGCTCAGGGTTGATTTCCTCCTGCTGCACGTATTGCCGGATGTTCTCGGACAGGGACAAGACGAAATTGGTGACTTTGCTAACGGTACTGTGAGATAATGTATTTACATAGTCGCTGCGGTAGCATAATTAGAGCAGTCATCATATCTGGACGACCAAGTGGCAAGTTTACGGTTGGTTTATCGGACTCATGTTAGACATTGTTGGCAGATGGACACTGGCAGACAATTAGGACACTGTGGACTTTGAGGTACAGGATTTTCTTTAGCACTAAACACCCGGACCAGCTCACCGAGGCCCTTCCCCCACGACGTTTCGTTGTGTCCAGAGCCAGTGTCTCAATATGAGTCTAAAATTATAAACCTTTTAAATTAACATATAAAAACGCCACGAATGTCGAAGACCCCGGAAAGATAGCATCCTTTAGATATTTTCTCCATGTATGCCGGTGTGTTGTGAAATGAGCAGGCAGATAGACTGACTGGTTCTGCACCATTTGGTGGTGAACTGATATAGGACACGGTGGATGTTTGAGGGCCCTTTGGGAGCTAGTGAACAGTGCCGAGGAACAGATAGATCATTACGGTCTGAGGAGAATGGTACTGCGAGGAGTTTCAAGGGGATCTGGCCAACGCTCAACACTCAGGAGAAATGCGAGACGGAAATACAATCAGACTGTTACTGGTACCATCGGAATTTTAACTCTTCTCTTGCTGCTGAAGATATGGAAGGAGCGCTTATGTGGGTGTCACAAGTGCTATGATGTCGCTTCTTAATTTAACGTTTAACAAATGAATTTCAACTGAATACTATTTAAAAAAAAATAGTTTGAAATCCCGACAATCTTTGTGTATTTGAATTTTGGCTTTTCTAATGAGCCACAAATTGCATGTATACGGAACGTCTATACCAAAGTTGAGCTCTCATTTTAAAGACTTAGGGTCTGTTCATCGAGAAGCTGATAGAATTTCTTCTCTGTTTGTATTAAAAAATAACATCCTAGCCTGCACAGTGAGTGGTGACTGTACTAGCGTCTTCTGGATATAGTCTACGCCGTGAGGTGTTTGTAGTCATGTCTCTCCAGAACCTTTTGTCGTTCCTGGGTAGTTAGTATTCCGTAGATATTTTCTCCAGGTCATGCCGGTGTGTTGGGAAATTAACAGGCAGATAGACTGTCTAGCTCTGCACCACTTGGTGGTGAAATGATGTATGACAAGCTAGATACAGTGAGAGTCCCTTGGTAACGGGTGAACAGTGCGGAGGCGTAGATAGAGCATTACGATCTGAGGAGAATGGCGCTGCGAGGAGTTACCAGGTTATTTGACCGACGCTCAACACTCAGGGGAAGGATGAGACGGATGTGCAGTCAGACAGTTACCGGTGTAATCGGAATGTGAACTCTTCGCTTGCTGCTAAAGATGGGACTAAGCGCGTATGGGGGTGTCTTTAGTGCTGTGATGTCGATACTTAATTCAACATTTAACAACATTCATCGATGTATTCCAGTTTGTTTCTTCTCATCACATAACACAAGAATTTATATTGTCTCCTTTTGATGTGGGTTATCGGTTCTCTTTGATTCTTGTCAAATTTCATTTCTGTAGCTATCATCGTCATCAACATCAAGTGCTTTATCAGCCGGCGTGGGCGTTCTTGTATCTTCACAGATCTCGGTCTTTGCTTTTCTGGATCAATTCCGCTGATGATATTCCTCCATGCCATTGATTTTAGCCATCCACCCTCATTCCTCTTGGTCTGTTTCTGCCTCTGCTACAGGTGATCTTTTCAGTCCTCACGATATTTTTCAGTGCTCCTTTTCTCATAACATGGCCAGAACTATGCAGCTCCAAATCATCACGTACAAGATCGTCGCTTGGATAATGGACTATGGGAATCAGATCTTCATTCAGTTCAGCTTGTTCATTAATAAATAAATTTATCAACCCGCAATAGAGAATAACTCCAAGAAAGAATTTATCCATCAACGAATACAACTATCAGCACGATCTAAGTGCTCAGGGAGTGGCCTTGACTGTTCCATTGCCGTGGCGTTTGTTGCTAGTGTAGACTGTCCGGCTGTTCATGTCCTGGACGGACCGGAAGTTGTCAACCACTGGTTGCCCTCTCAAGTCCATAAGGCTACGGAACCGCTGAATCTGCAAATGGACGGGAAAGATTAACTAATACCAATAATCAGCAACTCATCGTGTGTTTGTTGGGCCATACTTACATTAAAAATTATTTGTAAAATTTTTATTTCTCATCTATTTGTTACGTTACCCTTTCTGCTCTAAGTTTGGTCTACATTTGGTGCAGGAGAGTTTAGCATTTGATAACACGACATCCAGCATAAGAATGGAGGTGGGGGCGGTCACTGCAGCTTTCAGCTGGTATGAGAACACGATATCCCCAAAGACATCGTGGTTGTAACTGACTCAGAAAGCATGCTGAGGACGATCAGGACGGGCAGGCTTCGTGCAAAGTGGCATGCTTCCTTTCGATGGTCACGCGTGAGGAGCATTGTTTGGATCTTTTCTCCAGGAGTACCGGTGTGTTGGGAAATCAACAGGTGGACAGAATGGCTGGCTCTGCACAACTTGGTAGATAATGACGAGTCTCTGACGCTGACCTAACTATGTGACCTAGGATTGAAGCTAATTATGCCGTCTGCAATATCATGACAGGAGGCGTTTCAACTAACTGTCAGTAAAGATGTCCTGGAAAAGCTGCTTCATCGAGGACTAAGCATGCATGAGATTGCTCAGTGGTATTAATCATAATAACATAACAAAAAATATCTAATGCAATAAATTGCTCTCCTTTAATATCAGAAAGAGGGTGCTAAAATGTTACATAGAACCTGTTCTGATGTCTGCCAGCGAATCTTGGAATGTCAGTGAACAAATTAAGAAGAATTTGGAAGCCACAGCGATGAGGTTTCTGAGACGAATATTACGAATACCTTGGACGGCCAGTAACCAACAACGCCTGCTTGAAAGAAGCTAATGAAAGTTCATCTCTATATGCAATAATAAGAAAGAGACAAACACTGTTCTTTGGCCACATAATGAGAAGAGAGACACTGGAAAACATCGTGACAACTGGAACGAATGGTGGAAAAGGGGGTAGAGGCAGACCAAGACAAATTATGCTGGATGGGCTGAAACGATGGTATGGAGGGATATCATCAAGAGATCCGTTCCAGGCAGCCAATGATCGTGATCTGTGGAGACGCATGCCCGAATACGCCAGTTTGTAGGGCACATGATGATGATGAATATAACCAAACTTTGCGATTTCTCATAAGTACATTCTTGGTTGTTCGTCCATCACAAGTGATGAAGACCACTGTTCATCCAAAGTAGTAATTACCAATGATTATGAGTACTAAGGTGGCTGATTAGTCCATTATAATCCCGATAATCTTGAGCTGTGCCGACAACTGGATGAAAGTGACTTGCGCAAGAATTTGAGCCATGAAGAGTTGCGCAATTCGTCGACCTCACTCTCTCGCCTATGTCTCGCCTATGTCCATCTGGATCCTTGGTAGGAGTTGGTATCAGCTGGACTGTCTCCTCCATTACCGATCCCAAGCCCGGATAAGAAAGGAGAAGGGCTAGGCGTGAGTCCGGTTCCCCACCCTGTGAACACATTATTTGCCACAGAAACGTGTAGGAAATCATGCCACTATGGTAAACAGACGAGTCAGGTGGTGTATTGTGCAAAAAATGGATGTTGAAAGTTGAATTTAGAATCGACATCACATCACTCAGACATCACCATAGCCCTCCGTCCCCCTCTTAACATATTGCATATCTCTAAACCTAGAATAGACCTATATAAAACAAGCTTAGCGTACTCTGCAGCTCAACTGTGGAATAATCTTCCACCGGAAATAAAAAATATCAATAACCCCTTTAGATACAATCGGAAACTATTTGATTATTATTTCACTACAGACTATATGCCCCCCTAAAAAAGATTATAGTATGTTAAGGCTTTGATGTATTTCTGATTAACGGTTTGGGGGGGGGGGGCGCGGGGAGGGGGGGGGAACTTGGTGGTGGTTGAAAACTGAAGCTTATTATTGTTAAAACTGAAGATGTGAAGGTTGAAAACTGAAGCTTATTATTGTTAAAACTGAAGATGTCAGTCGAATGCATTCCAATATTTGTAACTAATATTTAATTGGTTTTGATGATGTTTATATTATGCAACCTGTAAGACTTACATTTTTTGAATAGGCTTATTATTATACTCTTTCAAACGTTCAAGTAATGTCAGTATAAATTAGAGCACATTCCAGCATTTGTAATTAAGACTTAGATATTTTTTTTTTTTTTTTTCTTCTTCTCTTTTTTGTTCTTTTGTTTCTTTTCTATATTTCTCAAATTTTTAATTGTGCATTCCTCTTTTTATTAATTATTATTATTATCAATTATTATTATTACTATTAACTATGAAATGAGGTAAAAATGAAACATTGTATGAAAGGAGCAGAGTGGAAGGGCAGAATGTTAGACGGGCCTGCGTGCCCAATTCTTAACCCTTTGAAAATAAAGTTTGTTTGTTCGTTCGTTCTTTCGTTCGTTCTTCAGCTACTGAAGAGCTCCAGTTCTGATTTAACAGTCTGTAAATCCGTCTCCTTCTTCCCTCGAGTGTTGAGCGTCGGCCAGATCCCTTGGTAATTTCCAACAGCGCCATTCTCATCAGACTGTAATGATCTATTTGTGCCTCTGCACTGTTCACTCACTCCCAAAGGACCCCCACAACATCCACTTGTCATGCGTCAGTTCACCACTAAGCGGTGCAGAACCAGCCAGTCTATCTGCCTGCTCATTTCCCAACCAACACAACAGCTTCACCTGGAGAAAATGTTCACAAAGGATGCTAACTACTCAAGACCTCTGAATTGATGCTTTGCCTCTCTGCACGAAGCCCGCCTGTTTCCATCTTTCTCAACATACTCTGTGAGTCAGTTACAATCACGGCATGTGTGTACAACTGATTCTCAAGCCAGCGAAAGGCAGCGATTACCGCCTCCATCTCCATTCTCAAACTAGACCTTGTGATATCATATACCAGACTTTGCAAATGTGGATGTGTAACGGTTACGTATGAAAGCTGCTCTGCGAAAGTCAGACAACGCGCCTACATGGCTCAAAACTAATTAAAGGAGAACGTCCTAAAGAAACCCTAAGCGAACGTTGACGAGAAAAGCCAAAGGTGCTGGCCTGTATTCTATCCGTGACATCGAAGTTATTGCACATGATACAACGGAATGATAGAGTAGGCTGTGAGTCCAAGGTGACAAACAATGGTACAACAGGGTTGAGTTGCTGAGTTGATTCGAGAACCAACATCACAGCACTTGAGGAATTCACATAAGCGCTCTGTGTCCATCTTCAGCAGCCAGCGCAGAGTTCCAGTACCAAACTTGCCAGCAGCATTCAGATTAAACGTCTGTCTTGTCTTTCCTCTGAGCGTCAAGTATTGATCAGAACCCCTAGTCACTACACGGTGTATCTCTATCACCAGACTGTGGTGATCCATTGGCTCCTCCGAATCGTAAACGCTCTCCCACACGACCCTAACCACGTCTGTCTTATCGTGCATCAACATCCCACTAAGTTGTGCAGAGCCAGCAAGTCTGACTGCCTGTTCATTTCCCAACACACCGGCGTACCGGAGAAAAGATCCAGAATGGCACAACAAGATAAAGGATCAAAGAATAGTTTATCTTCACCACCCTCCCGGCAATCAGAGGTCACAGGCGAAACAAATGATCTTCTTAACACATTCTCTTCTTCTTCTTTTTTTTTGTTTTTGTTTTGTTTTGTTGCGTTCATTGGCTGAAGATTCAGGCGGAAAGTTTTGATTGTTCGTCCACTCCCGGTCTTTAATCTTGTTCCAGAGCCTGCAATTTTTTGGCATATCCGTTTTAGAGATCTAGCTTTTTTTTTTTCTTTTTTTTCTGATGTTGCTTAGTTGTGTGCAGACTGTTGGACGCTTGCCTCTCAGGCAGGTGCACTTCTACTGCAAAGGAAACACCGCTAAATAGTCAGCTTCTACGACATGCTTGTTATGGGTAAGGGGCCTTTTCTTATTACCCCCCCCCCCCCCCCCCCCCCCCCCCAGCCATAAATTGGGCACTGAAATTCACACGAGGAGAATGAATTCTAAATTACATGCGAAGACAGGAAATCAAATGGTTTGCCAACTTAGAGACAGTGTCAAGAAAGCCATACCAAACAAGGCACAGACAGAGGAGAAGGACGTAGATCACAAGGCAGACAAACAACAACATGGAAAGATAACTTTAGCGAAACGCTACAGGATCCTTATGTGTCTCAGGTCGAGGCGGTCCGAAACCCGAAGAAGCACCGACACTCGTAGCGGTATTTCAAATAAAAGAAATAATGACAGGACGAGATACAGTAAGTTTCTTTTCCGTTACGTCACCAAATCACGAGAGATTTAGGGAAATCCCATAGTATAGGGGGGTTTGGGTTAGAATGCCCTGGTACCAGCTGCCACAGACAACCATGCTGAAGAAATTTAATAAACACAGAGCAAGGGGAAGACCACATAAGATATGGAGCGACATCAACATGAGCAGCCTAACAGAAATGAACACAAACTTGCATAATGTATTCTTTGTTTAAAATTTTTAAACTTTTTTAGTATCCAGAAGCCATGAGTTGTTAACCCTTAGGCTCGGTACTGTGGATATCACAACCCTTCGGCTTTGATTCCATGATAAATACCGTAAATCTGGGAGAATTGTGGCTTTTTTGCCTACCCTCAGGCGTGAACCCGGACCACGAGAAGTTCGTCACCCGGTCATCGCGCAATCTGGTTTAGCCAACTATGGTCTTAGCCGGGCGCATAATGTATTAGAAAAAGCGCGCAAACGATACTTACATCTCACCTCAACTCCTTGTTGAGGTAACCTTGTTGAGGTTACCTTGTTGAGGTAACCTTGTTGAGGTAAATGGTGGAATATACGAAGAAGAAAAAGAAGAAGAAGAAGAAGAAGAAGAAGAAGAAGAAGAAGAAGAAGAAGAAGAAGAAGAAGAAGAAGAGGGGTTAGAATTACTAGTAGTCGCTATTAATTTAACACTAGCCCTAACCCTAAACCCCTACACTACGAGATTTCCCTAAATCTCGCGTGACGTGGTTACTCAACAGAAAATAACCTACAGTGAAATATGTAAGATAATAAATTATGCAAATATGTGTTTGCGTCAGCATGATTTAAATTCACAGCTTGGCAACATGGTTTTCTAATTCTACCTGTTGTTTGGATATAGTTATCCGTTTTATCCCCACTGACCAGATGACGTTCTCGGAACATGGCGGCGTTGTCAGGCTTCCTTGGTAACGGTAGTAGTCGAACCGTCGGCACTTGGGCAGTAGATCTGACAGTGGAAACGCTGGAATATTTGTTCCGTTACCTGTAAATAACAAATTAAGAATTGTTTGGAGGCAAGTGAGATGTGGTCTTTGAGAAGAATGTTGTGAATACCTTAGACTGCCAGAATAACTAACAGTGAAAGTGGAACAATATATACAACAATAAGTAGGAGACAAACAAAGTTGAACTAAGTTTAGATGATTCAAGAACCGACATCACAGAACTCGGGGCATTCCCATAAGCACTCTGTCCGCATCTTTAGCAGCTAGAGTAACAAACAGCTTTTTGTTCATGTGACAATACGCGCGGTGACTTCAGAATATCTTTCCTCAACCTACTTTTATTTGTATGTATTTTGAAGTATACAGACAAATGGGGATTTGGATACATCCTTAATCTAAGTAGGCGAAATGAACAAGCATTTAATTCTCCTGGGATGTTGGCGATATCACACACTAAAACTGTTTCCCAGACGTTAAGTGTTAAGGTACAGAGATAAGACTGACCAAGCAGACTTACTGACTGGAGATTTGCACACCATCTGTTGGTGTCAGAAATGTTATCTCCTAGCCAGACTTTTAGGAGCAGCTAACTCCGGCTAATTGTGTTTAATTCCCCCTGAGGTTACCTAACTCGACGGCAGGTCCGACGGTCACTATTGACATGGTGAGCAGAAAGTGTTAACAGAAGGATTGACACCGTCTGATTTTATTGTGATGGCAGGTGAAGTAGCCAGAGGTGTGACTTGGCCTATTAGCTTTGACCAGCTTAATTGAACCAGGAGATCCTAGCGTGGGAATTTAAATAAGTGTTGTACAGCCCTGACTGACAGCGAATAAACTTACCTACAGGGGAGGAGCTGTGATACCCGTGAATGAAAAGGATTTTAGGCGTAATGTAGGAGGAGCTTGATAAAAGTTATAAAGTGGTGAACGCTAGGTCTGGTAAATGAGATCCTGTCTAGCACATGCCATCTGTTGGGCTTAACCTAAGCTTGAGACAGAACTTTTGGCATCGTGGTTTCATTTTTCCAGGTAAGATCGAAATTAGGTTCACATCTATATTTTATGATAGAGTTCTAACTGTCTTTTTACGCAAGTGTGTGTCTTCATCACTTTGTAGTACTCCTAGGCGGACATTTCTTCATTCTCGTAGGGCACTGTCACATTGCTTTATTTCCTATTTGATAGTGTCATGAATGTTTTTCGGGCACATGTGTTTCAATGTTGTAAAACCTAAATGTTGTTGTTGCCATTGAAATTTAATGAACTATCATGTTTTTGAAATCACAAGCGTGAAGATAACTTTGGCAATCTTATCACGTGTGGTTAAAGTGAATCTGTATTACATACAGCTAACACACTGAAATGTGTTTAACTCTCGGGAGGCTAACGCGGAGATTGATCCCGGAGAGTAAATCCACGAGATTTGTTATTTGATTCGCCCTAGAGCTATTGTTAGCATTCTGGGCGCGTCGATTGTTCCAAGCATAGATTCCAGAACTGGTTCTGTCTGACTGATTGTCATTTTGAGTCTGTACGAGAGACGGCACCTGACGTAGAAGACTTGACTATCATTACAGGACGTGTAGAGGAAGGCAGAAGATGTAACAGTTGGAATGTGAGACATAAGCCCTTCCAAATTGGACAGGAGTGAATGTGAGCATGAGGGAGAGATGAAATGTTTTATTTAAATAAACATGCTTGATGTTAGTATAATATACATGCTTAGTGTACATCTAGAGCAGATACTACAAATATGCGCTTGTTTCTTCATTCTCCAGTTTCCCACATTGGGCAGGGACTAGTAGGCATCCATTATTTGCCGACCGTCGAGTGTAACGACCTGCAGAAAGCAGTGAGGACGACAAACTGGAAAAGATAGGCAGGGTCTCAAGCCGAGAACTGTCCAAAGGTTGTTACTTTCCAATACCTTTATGATTTCATCAACATCATCCCAACTCTACTAGCCTAAACAAGTTCATTTTATTTTAATTTCGATTTATTAAAATAAATCTTTTTGATGTCGTAACAACATTACTCGAGTAAATTGTGTACTTAGGTTCAAGTGTCTTTGTGCATATTAGTTTACTTCAGCTAACAAATATTTAAATCACTTGATGGGGGCTTTTAAGTAATGCCAGGAAAGGAGACCAGTCGCAGGGGTTAAATGAGCACCTGGATTATATCGCAGTGGGTGTATCCAGATATCTATCTATCCCTTCTCCTTCTCCTGTGGATACAAGTACAGCAACTTTCATTTCATGGAACGAGCCACTCGCTGTTTTCTTGGCTATCCAGGACTGTCTAGGATCAACATAGCTTAGATAATAGTCCAGTTTCTCACGTGGGTGGGCATTGTTAAGGTTCAAACCCACACCCTCACTATATCAGTGTATTTACCCACGTGGGCGCGCGACAGTTCATGTGATCAGAAAAGAGCACGGCTAAAATAGATGAAGCCTTACTACACATTTTTTGAAAATAGAGTCTTTCGACGAATCTTTGAACCCTTTGAAGAACAGCGGGGAATGGAGAGTGAGAAGCAACAACGAAATTCATAATCTGTTTAAATAACTATTGATCACTGGCATCATGAGAGCTAATAAAATGAAAAGGCTGGGGCAAACTGAGAGAATGTCAGACGACACAGAAGGGAAAACTGTATACACAAGGGAGCTGAATTGTCGCAGACCAGAGGCAGACAAGGAAGGCGATGGAGATTATATCTAAACAGACCTATTAACACTGGCGTCACAAACCGAAAAGAGAAGCCCAACAGAGATACGTGGAGGCGGGTGATATCTGCGGCAATGAACCTCAAGGACTCGGGATGCTTACAAAGAAAAAGAAGAAGAAGAAGAAGAAGAAGAAGAAGAAGAAGAAGAAGAAGAAGAAGAAGAAGAAGAAAGAAGAGGAAGAAGAAGAAGAAGAAGAAGAAGAAGAAGAAGAAGAAGAAGAAGAAGAAGAAGAAGAAGAAGAAGAAGAAGAAGAAGAAGAAGAAGAAGAAGAAGAAGAAGAAGAAGAAGAAGAAGAAGAAGAAAAAGAAGAAGAAAAAGAAAGAATTAAAAAAGAAGAAAGAAGAAGAAATGGAGAAGAAAATGGAAGAGAGACAGAGATAGAGAGAGGGAGAGAGGGGGAGAGAGAGAGCAAGAGAGAGAGAGAGAGAGATAACGAAGAAGAAGATATTGATTTGGGGCAAAACATAGACGTTTAATTATTAGTCTGACATTTGCATATTACAATGTCTACAAGATAAGCTAGTCTCTTGCCAACTCTTAATAATTGGTCCTTACGGCATGCATGGTAGGCTACAGTCTATCTATTCTGTAACTCCATAAATTTGGCCCAGTAACAACTGTTTAAAATTGAACAAAACAATGCAATTCATTAAGAAAATTATGTAACATTTACATACCTGGATAACGGATTCTGTCGAAATGTTGTAGCAATTGTTCATACTTTTGGTTATGTTTGCCAGCCTAGGACAAGATATTTGTTACATAACATGCTATTGTTACGAAACATTAGATTTACAATGCGTTTATACAGCTGAGTCGACTCTGTGGCTAAGTCGATGCGAACGCTTCGTAATGCCGGGATGCCGGGTTCTATCCCAGCTGCAGGCCATGCGCCTTGCGTTTGTTCCGACAGTGGTATCCAGAAAGCCGACCGTCCAGTAAGCAATGGCAAACTATTTTACGTAAAGTTTCCCTGAAAAACCACACAACAGTTTGTGGCTGTTGAGGTTGGTTCTGCAACGTCCTGTAAAAGATACGCAACCAACCTTATACAGCTGAACTCGTATAACGACTGGGCTTGTCATATAATCATTTCTAACTGCACAGTTTACGGAAACGGTAACACATTTACCTCATTTTGAAAAGTTACTTTATAGTAATAATACCGAAATCCAAAGCTGTTCGAAAAATACCAATATTTGGTTCTTTCGGAATAGCTGACCACGAACAGAGAAAATCCACAGGTCACTGGACAGTCCAATATTTCAGGGGGTGGTAGATTAGGTGCATAGTTTAATAATTTGGTCGGCGTCTGTGGCTCAAGAGTTGCAAACGCGTTTTAAATTGGTAGGGGTTCTAAGGCATAGTTCACCATCTTTCGGGTCCCAGCGTGCGAGCTCTTGCTCCGCCACTCCCCTTGACAGCTCTCTAACAGCAGGAGTCAGTCAGTCAGTAGCATGTCCTTTGCAGAACCTTGATCCGATAACAACCCCCCTGAAAGCTTCTCAATCACAAGCAAGATGTCCCGCGTCTGATACACCCATTTGGAGATCATCCCCCACATCCAGCAACCATCTTCTCTTTGGCCTTTCTCTTCCTCTCTTCGCATGCACATACCCCACCATTATTGTTCTCTCTAAACTTTCATAACTTTTCAAGTGATTAAAATATTTTATTTTTTTATGTTTTATAACAACAGCAATAAACAGTATACATTCCTGATGCAGCAAAAGCTGGAAAATGTTCCTTAAATAAAATACAATTATCCACCCAGTTGCGGAATGAAAATAATAATTCGATCGCGTTCAAGCATTTAGGCTCCTTAGAGCAATTGCTTTAAATCGCTATATTTATTGTGCAGTACTTGTTCAAATCGCAAAGTAATGCGCAAATAAGACAAGAGAACAAGCAAGAAAATGTATCGATCTTTATAAGAAAACGCCGCTGGAATTACATCGGCCATGCACTCGGAATGGATAAGACCAGACACCTCCATCAAGCTCTCATATGTTAAGGAAGGGAAAAGAAAGCAGGGAAGACCAAGAGAAACTTTGCGAAGAGGCATCATCAGGGAAGGACTCAGCAATCGGCCTAATAAACATCTAAGACCTAAGTCAGGTGGCAACGAACAGCCAGACGTGGAGAGCTATGACCTCTGCCCTATGCGCCGCCTTAGGCACAAGAGGTAAGACTCATTTTTATGTTCACAAAAAAACACACACACACACATACACACACACATACACACACATACACACACATACACACACTCGGAGAAGGGGGCTAGTGAGTGGAGTTAAACAGTTGGGCAGGACATGTAAAGAGCTGCATGTGATAGCGAAGGACAGAACGACTTGGCGTGAGTCGGTTGAGGGCCTATGCTCCACTGGGGAATAGAAAGGCAGAAGAAGGTTTGTTTAGATAAGGTATCTTGTGGTTCCATTAGATTTCTTTGTCATCAGCCGTTTTAATTGATGTTGATTCTTCCTTTTATAGCATTCTTGTAAACTGTCGATGTTGATTTCTAAGGAGGTAGGTATCTGCTTACTTTCTTATTGTGTAGGTAGAAAGTACTCCGCGTGGGAGCAGTTGCATAAGTCTTGCGGTCATAAGAATAAGTGGTTATAAAAAAGTTAGTCTCCTCACGAAAAGTATGTCAATTTCCTTTGTGCGTTTGTTAGACTAGTCTACCGTGGTCGAGGTTATAAGTGTGACGGTCTAATGTTGTATTGCATTAACGTTTTTATTTCGAGAAAGAGACAGCCTGTGACATAGGTTTCATCATTTTCTAAGGGGGTTGTGTGTTAGATCCAGTTTCTACCGGGAAGGCTAACCCAGTCAAAAAATGCCCGCAGAAGTCGGATTTGTTGGCCGAAAGCTGCAGACAACGCAATTACTTAAGAAGATCTAGTTTCTAAATGTTTTTGGAGTGTTAAAGCTGTGGCCCAATGAAGTATACACCGCGCGATATCGACTACATGGCGTAACAGCCCCGTCACTTTGCGTGAAAGTCAGATGGCTCGAGGCTGACCAATCAGGATGGAGGTGGGATGAAGGTCGACCAATCAGAGGTGAGCTAGTGTGTACCCGTGTGTAAAATGGGGTAAAATGGAGGTATTATCTGTTGTTTTACTGAAAAATTTACTCACCGCCAACGACCCGCCTTCCGATCCCCCTCTCCCCGACCCTACTCCCACTTTACAATCCCCAACAATGTAGACCAGTGATCACCTTACCCGAATGAAGAAGCCCACGACGGCCAGTTGGTTGGGAACAACAACAGCCCCTGAACAATCCACTAACCGGTGAACCAGATGAATCTGCAGAAAGATTTGAGGAACAGTTGTGAAGCAAAAGTAAAGCCTCCTATTTCAATAAGGTTGTATTATTTATAAGTATATATACAACACGCTATATACTACTTTATTTTACTCCACCAGGACATCACACAAGCGATAAACACCCGATGACACAAAGTGCCACCATGTGGATGAGGTTCGCCGGTGGAGAGGTCCCAGAAACTGGGTTCAACCATTAGACCATATTTATGGCCAGGCTATATTGTGGCCCGTGGCAAGAGCCGGATGGGACTTCAAAATAACGAAAAATTGCATAACACGCTATATGTGTACTTTATATATATATGCTGGCGTCTGTGGCTTAGGCGTTACGAACGCGCTTCGTAATGCCGAGGTGCAGGGTTTGATCCCATTTGCGGATGATTTGTCTTGCGTTGATTATGACAGTAGTACCGAAAGCTGACTGTTTAGAAAGCAATGGCAAAATACTGAAAGTACAATTTATCTAGAAGAACCACAACAGCCAAACATGCTGGGGTCGGTTCTACAACGTCATATAAAGGATACGCAATTAACTTTATTTTATATACGTAAATATACTGGTGTGCAGTTTGTAAATTGAGCAGGATTTCTCTAAACCCTTTTCTGAACTGTATAGCATTACCAAAGCCGTTTCAGTATGAGGTAGCACCGCTGTAACGGTTTTATAAATGACTTTCAAAGGCTTTCAGTTAAGACAATGTAATGTCATATAACTCCTCAGTGTTAAATCGAGACCTCAGTTAGCATCCACGAAACGTTTGAACAGTTTTATTAGGGATACTCCCTCTATATTTCACAGATCAATTGACAGTAGGTGGATGATGATTAATATCGCGACGGCCGCCTTCACTTCCCAAGACTTTACATTTTACCCATTCAAGACTGGATTCATTTTTATTTTTCAAAAATTAAAAAATTAAAAATCAAAGAAAATTAGGTTTCGTCTTGATTCGAACCCTCGACAGACTGAACCGTAAGGCGAGCGTGTTTGTCACAGGTCAAAAGTACTTCAAGCTTGCTGGCTAAGTTCACGCAAAAACCTATAAAACACAGTAAATTATGGACCGTCCATCGCAACTCGAAATTTATAAATGAAACTAAAAGTAAAGAACCCTCTTTCACACCTTCAGACTGTAATGAATGGGTTTGTATTTCTACTCGTTGTCTAGGCGGTGTTCATGCGTCTGTGGTGGATGATATTCTGACACGCTTCACGTTACACACCTGGCACAAGCACAGTTTTGCTGGCAAATACTTTCCATCTTTTCGGAAGACACCGTTTTGTTAAACGTTAAAGTCTCAGGTCTTTGTCAAGGATTCAACTTCACTGCATTCGGGTTTTCCCATTACCTGCTCCGTTCCTGTGCTGGCGACAATCACATGAAATCTTCCCCACTCTCCGATTTGAAAAACGTGAACTGAAAATTATTCCCAGAATAATTCCAGAAATACGCACACATAGTTAATGTATAAGGCGGTTGCTTAAGATGTGGGTATCAAAGAAGATATAAGGTTTTGTTTCTAGCTCTTCCATAGGCACATCGTGCTGTTATAGAGTTTCCCTGATGATATCCTTCCATCTTGTTCTTAGTCTACCTCGTGCTTTACGTCCTTCTTCTCTGTCCATGTATGCTGTAAAGTGGTCATGTTTAGCAACACCTCTTTTGATTTGATATTCTTGCAGTCTAAGTGTTGCAGATTCAAGGTAGTTTCCTCAATCATCTTGTCGTCCTGCCTCCTTTAGTGCACTGATAATGTCGGCCCGGTCCATTGCTTTTCCTGTACCCACCGTGGCCCTCCCGAGACATCAACCTGCGGCGTCCGTGGCTTAGGCGTAGCGAGTCCGACTGGTAATCAATCCAACGTACCGCGATCGAAACCCACTGCTGGCTGCGTGGATTTTTATCGTGGTATGGGGCGTCGTAGGTCGATTCAGCCTAAACTGGGTACCAGGATGGCTGTCCCGGGGAAGTAAAGTCGGCCGGCGTAATGCTGACACATTACCCATCCAGTGCAAATTGGTCTGTAAAAATATTGGATGCTCTTCGCATATGCCCAATGCGCCTAAGGCGTGAAAAGGATCTATACCTTTCTTTTCTTCACTTACCGTGGCCCTGCCAGCAACCCAATCCTGTCATTCATTCCCTCTTACCCGGGGTGGTCCCTGACACTAATGACCTATCTATTGGTGTAGCTACACTTTTCTGTCTTACCTCTAAAGGGAAGTATTTTCCATTGATGCAGTGTTCAGATCCCCGTCGACGGTTTTTTGCCCCAATGGAAGTGAAATTCTGCAGCCGGTACATCCCTGACAGAGATCCACCTCTGAGCATGATGTTCCTTCCAGACACCGCCACCTCGGCTGTAGACAAGGAGAACTACAGTAAACTATAGGAAATCCAGGGAAATCCACAGGTTACGGGACAGTCTAATATTTAAGGGTATCGTCGATAGGCTGCATGCAGTCGTGGGACCATAGGCTGCATGCAGTCGTGGGGACCTAGGCTGCATGCAGTCGTGGGACCTATGCTGCATCAGTCGTGGGACCTAGCCTGCATTCTCTCGTG